TGGTTACAAACTGTATGGCCGTGGCAGGCTTCTTGCTAACTGTTCTTACAGCTTAAATTAATACATTTCCATTAATCTATACCTTGCCACGTGGCTCGTGGCTTACCGGCGTCTTCACATGCTGCTTGTCCTGGTGGCAGCTGGCAGTGTCTCCCTCTGCCTTCCTGTTCCCTCAATTCTCCTCTCTGTTAGTCCTGCCTATACTTCCTGCCTGGCCGCTGGCCAATCAGTGTTTTATTTATTGACCAATCAGAGCATTTGACATACAGACCATCCCACAGCACTCTCTAAGTTGTTTATTCATGTTTCCTTCCTCTCAGTCTGCCTGTGCAATACAGTGTTAGAGTAATGTGGAATTCTCTTTTCCTTCTCTACTGGCGATTATTCATTGTACATGGTGATAGGTTTCACGAGAACAGTTTCTCTCAAGTGCAGCATGTTCTTCAAGTGTATTCACTACTCAGCATTCCCTTCCCTTTCTTCCCTCACTCTCCCCTCTTTGACCAGTCTCCATCTTTCCCCCAATCCATCTTCTGTTGACATGTCTCGTACATACATACAGCTTTTTAAAATACGTGTGTACAGTCTAGGATTCACAGATGAGAGAAAACATGAGACATTTGTCTGATTCTAGCTTAGTTCACGAAATGTGAACATTTCCAGTTGTTTCCATTTTCAAGCAAACTATAATTTCATCCTTTTTATGTGCAAGTATAACTCTATTTTGTGTAATATACCTCATTTTCTTTAATCACTCATGTGGTGATAAACACCTGGGATGATTTTATATTTTATATTTTGGCTTTTGTGAATAATGAGGTCATAAACATGGATATGCAGATATCTGGTGTGTTGAGTAAGAGTCCTTTGGGTGTATTACTTAGGAATGGTTATATTGGGTCAAATGGTAATTCTGAATATTTTGTGAGGCACCTCCATATTGACTTTCATAGTAGCTAAATCAGTTATGTTCCCGCCAGCAATGTATAAAGGTTCTTATCTTCCCAGCATCCTTTGCCAGCGTTTTCTCCTAATGATAACCATCTGACCAGAATCTTAGAGTGTTCTAATTCTCATTTCTTCTGCAGCTAAAGAGCTGGGAGTTTTGTTTTGTTTTGTTTTTTCATGTTTTCTGGCCATTTGTACTTAATCATTTGAAAACTGTCTATTATATTATTATATTGGCCCATTATTATGACTCCTTGTGTGTGTGTGTTTACATGTTCATGTATGTGGACACATGTGCGTAGGCATGTGTAAGTGTTGCATACGTGTGTGAAGGTCAGAGGTCCATGTTGTTTTTCTTCTTCATCATCATCATCATTATTGTCATTATTATTGTCTTTCTTTGAACTTGAAGCTAATAATTTCAGCTAGCCTGGCTGGGGAGTGAGCCCTGTAGATTCTCTTGTCTCTGCTCCCCAGTGCTGAGGAGCACAGGCTGTTGAGCCTGTATTTTTACTAGAGTCCAAGCTCACATCCTCATGTTTGCATGGAAAAGCCCTTCACTGCAAGAACCATCTCCTCCCTTCCAAGCCCAGCTGTCGATGGGCAGTCTTTGCTTCTTTGGGGATTTAGTTTTTTTGAGTTACTTATATATTCTAGGTACTAATCTTCTGTCCAAACATACTTTAGAGCAGTGATTCTCAACCTTCCTAATGCCATGACCCTTTAATATAGTTCCTCATGTTGTGGTGACCACCACCCCCACAACAGACACACACATCATGAAATTATTCATTGCTACTTCATAATTATAATTTGTTACTGTTATGAATCATAATATAAATACCTGATGTGTGACCCCCAAAGGGGTTGTGACCCACAGGTTGAGAATAGCTGCTTTAGAGGAAGGTGGTGCTGGGAAAACTGGATATCCACATTAGAAAGAGTGTAAAGTCCTTCCTGTGAGATCCAAAACTGATGGAGGGGAGAGTAGGCCAGATACAGACTCCCTGATACAACTGTGGTGGCACAGGAAATAACACAGAATTGACAGGTCAGAGTGCATGGAGCTGTTTGCACAGCAAAGGAAATACCAGGAAGAAGAGACGCCTCCACAGAGGAAGAAAACTGCTGACGCAGGGGGTTGTCTGTTTTTGTTTTGTTTTTTAATGTATATCAAGCATGCTATCTGGCCTCCGTAACGGTGACTGGGCAGAACGGGGGTTGGGGTTCCACTCCACACAGGGGCATGCAAGCAGTCCCTGTGGGGGTGGGTTTGAATCCTGCACGCTGGCCTCAGGTGAGGCCATCGGAGGCAGTGGCCATGGGAGGACCTGTCAGTGAGGGAACCTGTGGTGTTAAGAGGTTTCTTGTGAGAAGTCTGGAGTGGCTGTGATTAAGTGTATGGAGGGCTGCCATGTCAAGAGAAATTAGTGGTTCTGAGGGCAGAGTATGCGGCAGTAGCATTTGGGTGTTCTGGAAGGCAAGACTCAGTGTAATGTGAGCAGGCAAGCTGTTTCTAACAGAATAGTTTAAAAAGGACTGTATGCCCCTGGGAAACACACTCCCCACTGCTCTCTTCCCCTGACACATTCCAGTGGGGACCACATGTCATTGGGATGAAGAGGCGAGGCAGAGTGTGGAGGGAACTCATCATAAGGATTTGATTTGGAGACCTCTGAACACATGACTGGGAGGCCTTGAACTCGATGTCGCAGCCCTGATTTCAAAAGGCAGAAAAATCTGCAGACACTGTTCTTACATGCTTTCTGCAAGGAGGATGCTGTGAACCCCTCTTGTCCTGTGGCATTTGTTCTCGTTGGTGAATGAGAGTGAGGGTTGCTGGGCTGGCTGTGTGGAGAGGCCTTTTCTCAGCGGTTTGCATTGTGTTTTCTGTTGATAGCTACCCTCTGGTAGCTCAGCCCTGAAGATTCTTGAACCTGGTAAAATGTAAAGGGGTGGTTTTCATGTAGTAGTCACCTCTAGTGAGCCATTTTGTCCTTTTTAAAAGGTTTTTTCAATATTGCTTTTGATATATTTTTTTTTAAAGCTGAATCATGCATCTGGTGTGTCTGACTCTTGCCCGTGTTTTCAAAGTCTAACTTTCCCCTTTTAATCATGTGTTTAATGATTTTAGTTTGGCTTGTATGTCTTTGTGTGTGGTACATGTTGTGAGTGCGGGGATGCAGCTAGATCAAGACCTCTGGTGTCTTCCTGTATCACTCTCTGCTTTAGTGTCACGAGACAGGGTCTCTTGTTGAACCAGAACATTGCAGTTTACCCTCAGCTGGCCGGCCGGCGAGCTCATGTGTTCCACCTGACTCCCCTCTCAGGACACGTGCAGCTATGCCCGACTTTCTACCTGGGTGCCAGGGATTCCAGCTCAGGTCCTTACGGTTGCTGAGCAAATGCTCTTACCCATGGAGCTGCATTTTTCTTCTTTCGGTCTTGTTTCTTTGCGAAGTTAAAAACTAGTCCACAAAACCCATAGACTATATAAGGGGAATGTGTCTATCTAACTGTAGTGTTTTCTCAGATGTATCTGATTGGGATGAGTCCGTCTCTTCCCTCTCCAAGCCTGCCGTAGGAAATGGTGGGCAAGGCATCCTTGGGTCCTCAGACTCTGAGACTCCACCGCAGCTATTGGACCAGAGTCCACATTTTAACAGTTGAACTTTGTCTCGGGCGGCATGCTTCAGAATCTGGCTCAGTCACCATTCCACCTTTTTGTTTGTTTGCTCTCCGGCACTTGTTAAAAAGTGCCTGGCATCGTGACAGGATTCTCTCACACTCATGGGCCATTTAATCCTCAGGACAAGTTGCTAAAGGAGGTGTTATTGAAGCTCAGAAGAGTTGTCACTGAGTCTGCCAAAGATGTCATGAAATGACACTTTCTAGACTCAGTGTGTCTTACGTCGGAGACAGGGAAGCTGAGGCCTGCTTGTCTTTGATGTGCACACCCTGTGCTTCCTTCCGAGTAGAGCCAGGTGCTCTGGAAGGATTGCAGAAAGGATGCTTCATCCCAGTGCTGACTGGAGTACCCCTGGGGGCCTCATGTCACATCTGTACCATGGCCTCCCTAAGCACCAGCCAGAAAAAAGCTCAGGGAGTTGCCTGCCTCAAAATAGACTCTCTCTATCTACCTGTCCATCCATCCATCATCCGTCCATCCATCCATCCATCCATCCATCCATCCATCCATCCATCCATCCATCCATCTCTGTGTATTTCAGTTTTTAAAACTGTATCATTCAAAATAAGAATTGCTTGCTAGAAACCATCTTTGACTGGTGCCCTCTGAAGCCTTCACCGCATACCATTTTCTTGGGTTCTTCTTCACAGGAAATGCAGTGGGTGGTAGGAAGTGATCTTTAATCGTGGGGTATTGTTTCTGTCTCCCTGCCTACCTTTCCTTTCGTCTCCTTGGATGCTCAAGCCTGCAGCTGTCTGAGATGAATGACATTGCTGTGTACCCACAATGCTGCCTCTCACTCAGAAGCCTTCTGAGTTTTCCTGGCATGTGAGAGCCAATGAACCATCCTTGGGGAGTAAAACACTTACCTTACAATTTATATGTAGGAAAATTAATTCTCATGATTAAAGAAAACTAATGTGGCAATTGGAATTCATTAATTTCTGTGTTTGGCATTTTTTTAATCTACCTACTTTGTACTTGGATTGATCTAAAAATGAAGGAACATTCTAAAACCCCATTATCCCAACACTGGCACAAGTTTTTCCCATTTCCCGTGTGTGTGTGTGTGTGTGTGTGTGTGTGTGTGTGTGTGTGTGTACACATACATATATATGTATTTTTTTTAAATCGGGGCCACATTGTAATTCTCTGTCCAGTACCATTTGGTGGTATTTTTATTTCTCTTTAGATATCATCCCATATTCTTTTTCTTTGCCACTGACATCAGCTTATTTCATATGAATGCCTAACATATTAAATACATATGCATTTAAAATATTGTTTTGATTTGTTTACAAGTTGTTTCTCTTAAAGGGTCTATCTGGGGAGATGTGTAATTTCTCATATCCTGTATTTGCAGGAAGAATTTTAAATCGTTTCTCCAAAGACATCGGACATATGGATGACTTGCTTCCCCTGACGTTTCTAGACTTCATCCAGGTATGTAGAGTGATACCATGCTCTCAGATGCAGAACTGAAGTACCTGTCTTTTTCTTTCTCTTTTCCAGGGCCTTTCCGTGAGGGAAAGGGGGTGGCCGTGGGGCTGTGGGGCTGGAGGTGTGTAATGTTACCTTATAAAAGGCCGTGTTTGTAGAAGGAAGGTGTGGTTAACATTCAGAGGCTGACTTAGCATGAGTGATATTGTGTGTAGGAGTGGCTGTGCGTTCGTGTCAGGGTTGGTTCATGGCAGCTACATGCTGGTAAGTGGCTTTCCATCTGCCTCCCAGGTATCTGGCTTGGATCCGATTTACTGTGAACACATTTCATAATATAGAAACAATCACCTCTCACGGAAAGATAGCCCAGATTAACTAAATTATGCATTGTATTGCCACAAAGGGCAAATATTTACTGCACCTTTTTTTTTTTTTTTTGGAGGGGGTGGGGTAAAACCAGGTGTGGTTACTTACAAAGAACAGATTAGCAATAATAAGGTGAAAATAATACTTTGTTAGCAAGGACAATAGAAGAGCGGTTATTGCAGATTCAAAGCTTTAAATGCGGGCATGTTTAAGCCAATAATAGAGTACAGGATCAAAGTCTTCTCAGAAAATGTCTTTTTTGTTTTCCTAGGCAACTTTTCTTTTCACACATTGATTGCTCTGTCTTAAGGTGTCTTTAAAGAGGAATCTCACAGAAATGCCTTCTTTTTGCGTGTTGTTTTGTCTGTGAACTTGAGGTCCAAAAGCCTCATGTCAGATCACCTCGTCTCTCACCTCCTCATTCAGTGTTGTTCACCTGTGGTTTTACCTGTTTTCCTGTGCTCTCTTCTGTCCTTTAACTCTGTCTGCTTTGCAGTGACTCAGGCAGGGGATCTTTCTGTTTCCCCCCAAGCGTTTATTTTGGAAAAGAAATGCATCTATCAAAAGCCGTGCACTCGTTAAGATCCCAGCTGCTTGCAGCTCCCTTGCCATGAGATTGGACCCTTTCACTCTCCTAGCCGCCAGTTCACAGCTGTTCTCACCAGCAGCCAAGCTGCAGGCGGGAGGTGGAGACGCCACAGGGGGGTCTTCAGTTATGCCCAGGTCTGGCTGGACCTTCCCCTTTTCTTCTGTGCTCAGCACTCTTCAGGCCAAGCCTAGGTTCACTTCTGTAGTCACTGGTCTCAAGAACTGAAGGATTACTTAATTTGGGAAATTGGCTGTGTCAAAAAACAAACAACTCAACAGTAGGCTACAGTGATTGCTGGAATCTCTGTCAGTCACACAGAAAGAGAGCCCAGGCTATCTACTGCAAACAGCATGGCCCCTAGGTGAAGCCATCTCTTCCCACCCAGCTGGGGCTCACAGGTGCAGTCTTTGTACTGTAGATAACCACACCAGACTCGTTGGCTTCTGTGAACTTATTTTTAAAATGTGTCCTACTGGATTTAGCTATGTTCTTTGTCCCCTAGAAGCAACCCTTCACTACAGAGTTGTCTCCCCCACCCCTTAGAATACAGAGAACTTTAAGCACATGTCTTGACAGAGATTACTATTACTTCTAGAAGAATTTGCCAAGGGTTCTGTTTCTCCACAACCATGAGCTAGGCCAAGGCTGAATTTCCAAAGCTGGCTGGCCCACTGTGTGTTTAGAAGAGTGAGTCGTGCTAGTTAGAATCCCTCGTGTGTTTCTGTGTCGCTTGTGGAAGGATATTCTTGACGTTAGTATAAAGCATTCTCAGCATTGTGAGGAGAGAAAATTCTAGTCCTGTTGTACTTCAGTTTAACTAGATACAGCAGAATCTTTATTCATCATCCGCTCACAGGCTTGCTACACTTCACCATTGTTTCCTACTTTGGGTGCTGATTAGCCAGTTTCTAGACTCTGCCCCGAAAGTGAATCTTGATGCTGTTGTCCTTCCCAAAGGAGTTTCACATAAAGGACAACTCAGTTATCAATTATCATACAGATCTGTTGTCACTCACTCTGTCTGCAGGTGTCTCCAATAACCCTTCCTGTAATCCTTTCAGGAAGAAATATTTTCTCCTTTTAAAAATAGCATTAGCTAAATATAAAAGCACTGATCCCTGCCATTGTTTTGCGTCTTTGAGGGACATTTCCCAACATCCATTGTTTAAATGGTTGTCAGGAGGAATCAAGTGAAACCTAGTGAACGGGGCTGGAGCAGCCCCTTTGCACTGTGCACGCACAGCCTTCCTGGGGAGGATTTGCATCTGATGACGGCCTGGGCTTCTCGTGAAGAATCGCTGTGATCATTTTGAAGTATTTGGTGCCTGTTGCTATATGATCGAGCGAAGATTTTTATGAAAGCCACAAAAAAAAAAATTTTTTTAACCTACCCTCAAAGAAAGGCCAACAAAAATCTAAATGTAAATTGATTTTTTTCCCCCTTTTTAAGCCAGATAGGACTCTGTCAGTATGAAAACTGCCCAGTGGTGTTCTGGGACTCTTAATGGAATCATGTAAACTTAAAATAAACACTATTATGGTAAGCACATAGAATGAAAACTAATTTTCCAAATCAAATACATTATATTCAATTCATTTTCCCCAATCAACCAAATGTTTAAAACCTGTTAGTTATAACAGCAATCTCCTGGAAATTAATTAGAAGCCTATTAGCTCTGCTAGCTGAGGCGGATGACCGGGGTTGCTCCTTACATTTCTAAATAGTCTCTGGAATTAAAGGCAGCAAGGTCAGAATGACAGGCAGCCTCACTCCCCTGTGGCTGGCCCCATACTGGAGCTTCTGGGGTGTGGGTGGACGTGTGGGGGCTGCTTTTCAGAACATGTTGTCTCCTCTATCTCAGTCCTTTAATACATCTTTAAACATTTGGACTAAGAGAACAGCCCTCCTGACCTTGTGTTCCTGAGACCCTGAGTTCTATTTCTTGTACCACCAAAACAAACAAAAAGGGGGGGGGCACTTAACAATAACAACAGAAATTTGAGAATTAGCCGTCAGATAAACAATTCAGGTCAGAGATTATTCAGGTCAGAGACTATTGCCCTTCAACAGTAGCATCCACTGCCTTGCATGGACCTCTGAGGTGGTTGCAATTTTCCTCAGGTCTTGTTTACCTGCTCATCCCCTGAGCCAGTTTACTAGGTCCCCTGAAGGGTTTCCTTAGCTTCTTTCAAAATTGACCTTAGTGGCAAACTTCCTGTGTGCCTTTGTTCTTAATGTCATTAGCAAACCCTACTGCTGACATCAGGAGGCTCTGGGTCTTGATGTCTTTCATCGGATCCTGAAGGTAATTAGAGCTCCTCCTATGTACAGGTAATTTCCCAGGATGCTCCTGTGCTCAGTTTAGCTAAAACAGTTGAGATCAGATGGAGCTGGAGATGAGGCAGTACCTACAGATGTTTAAGGAAGTGAGCATCACCCAGCACTCTCTAGCTCGAGTGAATGTGGCAGTGTGTGTGCCCACACGTAGAGTGAAAATCCAAGTCCACGTTTGAAGTGCTAGAAAGCTAAGCAAGATTCCAATAGAGACTGCCTGGCTCATAGTTCTTCCTATAAAGGATGTGCATATGCACATGCTTTTCTGGATAATAAGATCGGAGAGCTGCAGAAGTAAATGATGTAATTAGAGCCATTCCTGTGAGCTGTGTAACCCTGGGTGCCTCATGACCTTTTCTGGTGATGGCAGATCAGTTGGTCAGTTCAGAACTTGAGTTTCCAACTGAGTGTGATCCTGAGGAGTCCAGGGGACGGGCCTGAGGACTGGGCCCTTCGTTTGTGTCGGGGTGCCTAGAGTCCCTGTGCTCTGAAGAAACGAGTCAGAAGTCTGGACAGAGATCTGCCATGCCACCGATGGGATGACCAAGCGGAGGAAATTCTACGTAAACTGTGACCAAAGTTCCTGGCCACATAGAAGTCTAATTTTGTCCCTTGGGCCTCAACAAAAGATTGGATTTATGTGGACATGGGCGAGGTTTTGTTTTAAAGTATTGGCTATTGGTGTTTATAGTGATGAGACACAATGTGATGGCACAGCCAGTTTTCAAAGTTTGCGTCTCTGCTGCCATTCATCATTGTGAGAAGTATGAATGGAACAGGGTGAGAAGAGGAGTCTGGGAGACTGGGCTCTTGGGGTACACATGTGGATTATCAGTGACTGGACAGACACACTTTTAGCTGACAAGCTGTTGCCAGGGTTAGAACAGAACTGAAGGGTGTTTTGAATAAAGTATAAATACATAATTGGAAATAACAGCTACTTATTGGAAATAAAGTTATATTGGAGTTTCCTGACTGGCAGCATCTCTCTGGCGTAAAAAGTGTTGTTCAAATGTGTGTCGTTTCTTTACTTTTTCAAGAAATTGCAACCACTTTGAGTATAAAGAGGATTTCTTAAGCCAAGTCCTCCATCAAGACAGAATAGTTTACTGTAAGTTAAAGCTAGATGGTGTTTCAGAAATAGGAGTTAAAATATCAGTGCCACCTGATCCTCTGCCCCTCAGATATGAGAAATCAGAAGAGACAACAGTCTTGGAGCAGGGATTGACCTTTGGAAGATGATTGTATTGGTGAGCTAGCCGTGTGTGTGTGTGTGTGTGTGTGTGTGTGTGTGTGTGTACATGTACTCAGATAGATAGATAGATAGACAGACAGACAGACAGACAAGGTAAAACTTGTAGTTTTAACTCTGATTTTTTATTATTAGCACAAATTTCAGTAGCATTAATTTAGTTTGTTTTCTTTTTTAATACACATTTTGTCTTCCTGCGTGTTTGTTCTCTCAAGCATCCCATGTAGTAGTGAGAGGACAGCCTGTGGGAACCATTTCTATTCTTCTACCATGCAGTTCCTGGGGACCAGATTTGGGTCGTCACGCTTGGTGACAAGTGCCTTTACCCTCGGAGTCCTCTCACCACCAGCCCGCCGCCCTACGTTTTCTAATAGATGCCAATAGATGCCATTAATAGAACTTTAGTACCATTTTAATTAAAATAGTTAGAACTCATTATTTTTATTAATAACTTTAATAAA